ATTGCTAAAGAAAGGGGTCCAGGATTTGTTTGTTTTCCAGTGCAGGATGAATGAAATAGCATGCAGCCTGTGTTGCAGCCCACCAGAGAAGTACATCTGCATTGTGAAACTACACGTATGGATTACGTACTTTAAGGCGTCGCTGTAGGTCACGAGAGAGCGAAGGATAACCTTTCAGAGTCTGCAGAAATAGTGCTGGAGAGCTTCACAGGGCCAGGAAGGACAAACCTGGTGTAGAGTTAATGTCTTCTGAACATGCTCCTTGGGGTAAACTGTTCCCTAAAGTGTCTTGGGAGAAGAGGCAGCGGAGACATAAGATGTGAGAGGGTCAATGAAGTGGGCAAACAGTTCATAATGTGTCTGATCAGCAGAGTGGTGCTGGCTGGTGGATTGCCCCCCAGGACTATTTTAGTTAGATGTATCCCGTGAGGGCTAGGGCTGAAAGTACCACCATTTAAACTTCCAGTTACCTGGGGTTTGGATCATTATATGTAGTGCAAAGACAGTTTGCAAACTGAACTTTAAAATAAATACCTTCTCAGAAGGTTTCTCTGGTAAACTTTTTTTTTTAAAGAAAAGTAAAACTTTAGGTGGATTTTGGTTTTGAAAAATAGCTTCACTGAAATAAAGTGTGCTCATTTTCTTAGTGTTTCTATCCTCAGAATAAAATATTTAAAATGTGAGATTCTTAGCATATGGCTAGAAACTGATAATTATTTAAACCAGCTGCCTAGTTGCAATATGTAGCAATATTTATCACTATGATTCACTAGCACATCAGAAAAAAAAAAAAGACAAGTGAAAATGCTGTGAATAAATAAAATGTGAGAAATACTTAATCATAGTGGGTGCATGGTGGTGATTTGTTTTAAAAATCCAAACTATATTTAATCTTTTATTAAAATAAATGACTCAGTTTCTGTTACATCTGAGAGTTATAATTATGTTATAAGCTATCCAAAATCAAATACATGAATAACACCTTTTTCCATGTATTTATCCACCAAACTGTTGCATCTGTAAGTACAAGAAAAGGATGCTCTTCCTGTCTCTGTTTTCCTGCAAAATTTCTGCAGGTCTCTAATTCAAAACATCTCCCTGTAAGCAGGTGACTGTATTCAAGGGAAAAGAGATACCGAACTATTTCAGCCATACTTCATACATTTCATGTCCATTCTGTTACTTTTCTGAAGAAGTAATATACAAAATTATTCAGTGTAATTTCAGCATCAAGAGTAAGAGCCACAATTTGACCAGGCATTGATTACCTGAAAAGATTTTTCATCACCTGTAGTTAAGCCTCATTTCTGAGTTAGTATATTGAACATTGTAATCAAAACTTTCCTCCCTTCTAGCCTCATTCCCACAGCAAATGTCCCCAGAAGGGAAGAATGTTATGAATTGCATCAAAAGTTTCACAAGTGATTAATTGCTATACGAAAATAATGTGACTTAAGTTTGCCAGTGAAGTTGTTCATTGTATTCACAGAATCGGTCTTCAGTACAAACCAAATCCTCCTTGATAACAGCCCATTGCAAGTTCTTGGACATCACTAAAGCTAATTAAAAACAGGTGGATTCTTCCCATGTAGCGTACCAACCAGCTGAATGAAATGTAGGTAACTTGTATTAATTGTTAGAGAAGATTTCTTTTTCCCCACGGACCTTATTGGAATGTTAGGATTCTCTAAAGCTGTGATTCTGAACCAAAGAAGAATCGTATTTTAACTATAATACCCATATTACTTTGTTCATAAAACCTGAATTTTAGTTGGCACTGTAGAGGAGAGAAGGCCTTGAAGGAAACTTAACTTTTGAAACCTGATCTCTGTGTGAAAGTCTCTGTGAAAGTCTGGTATAAACATTTGAAGGGTTTCATTTAGAAACTCATATTTACGTAGTTAAGTTCTATAATTTTTATTTTTTTTTTAATTTTGTGGTGTCTGTTTTATTTTTCAGGTCTCAGTTTATCTTTCAGAAAAATAAAAGCAAATGACTAAATGAGATAGCAGTATTGCAGAATATGATCTGTTTACTGAGTGTTCCATTTATGAACTAAATGTTCTGCTTAATCTTGTGATTTATTATTGGTTAGATAGTTCTCTTTAATTCCTAGGAGTTTGTTTTATGTGGATTAATGATACTGGTTTCAGACTACACGCTTAGGGCCGTACAGAAGGAGATCCAGAGGTAGAGAGTAGGAGACCCGTGTGCTGCTGACTTGTGCTGCGTTTTCATGGAGTTGCCAACAAAGTTGAGATTGCCCTCTTTTTCTGGGCAGAATGAATAGAAGGCTGGAAAAACAAATTGGCACCATGAAAATTTTTCAAAGACAGAACCACTTGTACCTAAGCCAGATGAGAGCTCTGAAGTGCATGTATCTTGCTATGCAGAACAGTCCAAATATAATATTTATATCTACTGTCATTGTAATAGACCTCAAAGATGGTCTCTCTGTTACACAGCATATAACCAAATGACCCAATATGAAGTGGAATTTATGATGTTAGTCTTTCCAAGCCCAGCCAATTTTCATTTTGGGACTTCATTTTTTTTTGACTGACATAAGTTCTGTGCAGCCTCAGAGGAGAAGGTGAATAAAAGAACAGAATAAAATAATAGAACATTTCATGCATTTACATTTTTCTAGTTTAGATATTCAGAATTTTAAAACAATTTTCCAACTTAGTCACTCTGTAGGCACCTAAAAAGTTCAGAAAATCGGACAAACAAGACAAATTGAAACAGTTTGCGGTCTTTCATCATGTCACTGCTGAAATATATTGCTAAGTTGGTAGTGAAGAGTTGGTAGATCAGAGAAATATTTAATGTCATACATACGATTTTTAATCTGACAAGTAGAAGGAAAATCTTGTCAGAAGTGGAATTTCTTAGTTGATAGCAACAGACTATGAGTATATTGGAGCATATTTAATTTTTGTCATAAACATAGGCTTTCAGTAACAACATAGTATAGTAACATACAGGTCAGATCTGAGCTGCTCTGTTGTCCATGTTCTCTGACAGTGGGCCATCAAATCACATCAAAATATATTTACACATGTCCTGGTTTTGGCTGGGGTAGAGTTAATTTCCTTCCTAGTAGCTGGTACAGTGCTGTGTTTTGGATTTAGGTTGAGAATAATGTTGATAACACACCAATGTTTTAGTTGTTGCTAAGTGGTGCTTACACTAGTCGAGGACGTTTCAGCTTATGCCCTGCCAGCGAGAAGCTGGGAGGGGGCACAGCCAGGACAGCTGACCCCAACTGGCCAAAGGGACATTCCATACCATGGGACGTCATGCTCAGTACATAAACTGGGGGGAGTTGGCTGGGGGTCGGTGACCACTGCTCGGGGCCTGGCTGGGCATCGGTCAGTGAGTGGTGAGTAATTGCATTGTGCATCACTTATTTTGTATATTCTTTTATCATTATCATTATTATTATTATTATTATTATTTTCCCTTCTTTTTCTGTCCTATTAAACCGTCTTCATCTGAAGCCACGAATTTTACTTTTTTTTCCCCCGATTCTCTCCCCCATCCCACTGTGGGGGGGAGTGAGCGAATGGCTGTGTGGTGTTTAGCTGCCTGCCGGGTTAAACTGCAACAATATGTTTATTGATGAATTTTAGAAATAACTTGCAAAAATCTCCAAAGCTTACTAACATCACAATATTTAAAATTTCCTACATCAATAATTATTTCCTGTTTCACTATGGGTCAGTGTTATGTGTTGTCTTTTGCACCTAGGCTTGAGATTTTATGTAATAGGTGTATGCTGGGGCAAAGCACTTACTGTTCGTATACAATGGGAAATGCTAAGAGCGAGGCAAGTCAAGACAGTCTTGTGCAACATATTGTTTCAAAACTTTACAAAAGTAAAAAGTTGATTCATGAAGTCTCAAGTTTGCTAGTTAAGAGCATAAAATTTCTTCTGAAAATTTTTGTTTTATTTCTATCTTTATTGCAAGCTATGTCTCTTATTTTGAAATGTAATTTTGTGCACTAGAGAAGTATAATTTATTGTAAATGTTACATTAAAAGACTCATTTCTCAAGCAGTTGGAGTTAGATTTTTTCAGAGACAAACGTTTCTTCTGTGCATTGCATAGTCATTAGATCCATTTAAAAAAAAAGATTTCTTGAGCTTCTAAAACAAATTGCATTTCTTTAATGTGTTGTAAGGTTTTTAAGTGGTAACATCTTCAGAATGAGTGCATGTTCATATTGTATTGCTTCTGAAAAAGCTGGGAAAATATAGCAATGAAAAATCACTGAACTAGAAAGAGCCACTTGTGACATCAACAGAAGTTTAACAAGAAGAGCCAGAATAGACAACTGTTTCAATGGCTTGCATGCAGGGCCAGTTTGTATGTGTACTTGGTGGTGGTGGTACTTGATGGGCCAGACATAGCTTAATTACTGAATTTCTACTATGCAGAGGTTGCAACAGGAAAACATTTTTGGACTAGTCTGTTTTTGTGGTAAAGGGGCGGTTTTTTGTTCGTCTCTCCTACAGAAAATTAAATACTTTCTCTGTATTTATCAGCCATTGATGATACCATTCTTCATCCCTGCTATAGCAGCCACTGCAAAGTGACTGTGTTGTCCTCTAATCTAGTGGAACAGTTTTTAACATGTCCCTTGCTTCATCAGCCTTTTTGCTGACTGGGAAGCCCAACAAGTACCTTTGCCAGTGGCGGTTTAGAATCTACTAGTGAAGTGTGGGCATTTATCATTGTTATAATTTTCAAGTTGAAGCCAAAATTCCTTTGTTGATGTATTTCTTGCATGTGCTTTTATTTAATAAAGAAGAAACTATGCACTTCAGGAAACGGTAATCCTTATTTACTGCTATGATGGGAAAATGCAAATGAAGCAGAGAATTTTGTGATTAGTATTTTACAGAGCAGTCGTTTACTATAATTACATGTTTTTAATCAGTGGAATTATCATGTTCTATTAACCAGATTCTTCCCTGACTTCTTGTAGGATTCTGAGTAACAACAAGATCTTATGGTTGAAGAATGGCTCTTTCTTCGGACTGAGATCCCTGGAGAGATTGTGAGTAACCGATCAGCCTCGTTCCACCTTCAATTAAAAAGTCTTTGTATTTTAAATGTAAAAACAAACATCAGATAATGAAGTTGAGATGTTCTGAACTGTATTGCAGAGTAGAGCTTGTAGGCAGTCATCAAGTTAAGAAACAGCATAAAAATGAGTGAATGGGGACAGACGTGGAAAACACAGGAAAGCACTGCCATCAATTTGGAACTAAAATAAACACCTAGGCAAAGACTTGTACTACACTATGTACACTATCACAGTGAAGACTGGTATATGTAATGGTAACACTAATGTACCTGACATATAGTCTGGGTTATTTAACTCATTGGTCTCCAATACTTCCATTTTAATTCTATTCTAATTTTAATTCTATTTTATATTTTAATTATATTCTAAAGAAATTGGACATCATTTATCACTGGAGCAGATGATGACATCGATAAAGCTCCATGACTGTGTATTTCTCATCAATATTTGGAGGAGGGAAGAGGAGCGAGGTTTCCATATGATCTGCTCAGGAGCCACTAATGAGTTAGGAAGAAAACATTCTGAAACTTCAATGGAATAAATGAGCAGTTAACAGCTATACTGCAGTAACGCTGCTTTCTGTATATATAAGTCACTCATTTGAGAATAATCACGTGAGCAAGTCTAAAAGGCTATTTTTTTATATCTATGGGAAACAAACTTTGCCAGTGCATCTAAAATGAGTAATTATATCATGCCTATTTTAAAACATCTCCTGCAGCTTAAGCTAAATTATTTTTATATTGCTTTGTAAGAATACATTCATTATGTAGAGCTGTTGACTTAAAGTAGTTGCTACATTCATGAATGCACGAATGTATTCTATGTTGTATGAATGTTTCCATATGCAAAAAATTGACATATTAAAATCAACTTTAGCTAATATTTTACTATGTATGTGTGTGACGTGCATGCTGTTTTATGGTTGTGTAATAAGGTGGGTAAGTATATGATACTGAGATATTTGAATATTCTAACTGCAATTTAAAAATAAACAATGAATTTCAAGGTCTGGATCAATCCCTTAAGCACCTTGAAGGGTTAGGATAAAGCTAACTGTCTGAACAGTTATGTAAAGGAATACTAAATTTTCTCTGCGTATAGTTATGAATTTAACAAATACTTCTTTAATATTGGCAATATTAAATGGTATAGAATGAAGAGTTGTTGGGTATTATTTACTAACTGGTTTAAACTTAGGTGTAACAATGATATGAGGTTTATAAAGAAGTTTACAAATATTTTAGACAAAACAATTTAGGGGATAGGATTACAAATTTATTGCAAGAAAGTAAATTAGTAAATTAAATTCTAATGTACTGCAAGTAAAGCATTAGTGTTCAGAAACAGAGGAAAACATTTCCTCTGGTGGTTTTTTTTTAGGTTTAATTTACATTAGGGAACGATACTGAGCATGTACTTTTAAAAACTTTATTAGTTATCTCATTAGAGAAATACTTCAACCTGAAGAGACATTGCAAACAGTATTGAGAACGGTGTGTAGCCTCAAGTATCATCACCATCTAAACCTTCTTAATTTTATTGTATTGATTTTTCACAACATTACAGATAAAATCAATGAGTATCATCTCCTCTGTATATGATGCTATTTAGCCACGATGTTAGTACAAAATCCGTAAGAGGCCCTTGAAGCAAAGACTAGAATTCAGGTGGTGGCATTCTCATCAGATTCGGATGCTCTGTCTCTTGTTCTCTGGCCCCATCCACTTCTTATCAATATCTGCAAAGGCCCAGTTTTAGCTGGCGGGGTAGGAACAGCTGGAATAGTCTACTCAGAGGTGGAAGCAGTGGGTGTGAACGAACTACATCTGGATGAGCACTCCTAACCCTTGGACAAAACCTTGAAGGGTTTCCCCAGCTTTGCCTTTTCCACACAAGCCAATTCAGAGCCGTACTTCAGATGCTTAAAATGGAGAACTATGACAGCAACTGCTGTTGATGTTGACGGCTCATCAAAATGGACCAGAAAGAATTTTTATTCCTTGCCTGAAAGGGGAGGTAGAGAATGTTATGAAGTACAGTAGCAGGAAAATCCAGCTTCCTTTAAGATAATGTTAAGTTTAGAAGATCAGGTGCTTAGAAACACGGGTGTGCTGGAGTTAAGGATTACTCATTTAATTTGGCTTTGCACTCCTTGTGGTCATGCAGCACGAAAAATTTAGTAATGTGAATGCCATAGAGACAAGAATCATGCCTGTCTGTAATTCTTTTGTGGTTACCATGAGATCATGAGCCAGAAGAGTGTTAGCTTATGTGGAAAATGAAATCATTCAGTGTCAAACTTGAAAACTTTAGAGGGGAAGTGAAATTTCAGGTGGAAGTGAGTGACATGTATATTCTGGCTCTTTCCTATCCTGGAGTGCTCAAAACCACTTTTTGAGCAGAGAACGGTTTGAAGCCCTACTCCAATAAGCTAGTGACAACTTTCCCCTTACTATTTTGTTTTTCAATGCATGTCACAACAGGAATTGGATTACAGCAGTGTCAGTCCTCCCAAGTTCTGGTGATTTCTCAACAGTGTGTTACAGAAGTGAGAGACCTCACTGAGCAGTTGCCTCAAACTAGGACTCCTCATTTTATGCAACTTTAATCAAGCAAACCGAGAAACTTAAGTTGTTAGCCCCTTAACTGTCCATTCTAAGAGTAAGACAGAATCGATTTCTCTAAAGCTAAGACTATTGTAGAATTCTTATATTGTGCATGAAATGCAATTTTTTCAAAATATAGTTGGACCTGGTTTGTATTTGTTTCTGCAGACTTCTCAGAAAATTGCATTTTTTTTTTTCAACCTTAGCATGAATATTACAAGGTTTCTATTTCAGATAGTCTAAATTGTCTTATTGCTGTAAAAAGAAATCTTATATTAGGTTTTCAGGGGATACCGCCAGCCAGTATAGTTGGGCCTGGTCTGTATTTGTTTCTGCAGAAACAAAAATGACTTCTCAGAAAATTGCATTTTTTTTTCAACCTTAGCATGAATATTACAAGGTTTCTATTTCAGATAGTCTAAATTGTCTTATTGCTGTAAAAAGAAATCTTATATTAGGTTTTCAGGGGATACCGCCAGCCAGCCAGCAAAAAACATGTTTGGGGATACAGTTATTTCCCTTTTAGTAATAGAAAGATAATCCTATATTTACTAATACTTCATTAATATTAAAAATGAAAAACTTAATAATGTCTGTAATAAAAACTGTGTAAGTAATAATGATCAAAATACATTTATGAAATATTAGTATTTTTACTGGGCAGTTTGTAAAAATGCTTTGACAAACACCATCTCACAAAAGGTGCTTTTTCTGTATTTTGTATGTGTGTGAACAGTGACTCACAAGTGACCTGTAGAGATGGCACTCTCTCTGCACTTAGTTTGAGTTTTCTGAAACTAAGAATTACTGCCTTGTGCTGGTTTGGAAAGGTTGACTCACAAATGTCTTACGGCATCTGGATCACAATGCACCTCTGTGCCATGGGGCTTTGTAGTACTAACAAGAGGCATTAAGAAGTGAATATCATTCCTTAAGTACCACGTGAAAATAAAAACTTTCTGTAAACTGAGGTTTTGTACAGTGCTCAGTTATATTGGCCTTGACTACTCCCTTGATTTGGGTGAAAATCAGAAGCATAGGTAAGAAACTAAATAAACTTTTTTGAAGCAAGTGTGGTAATGAAACTGTTTGTTAAAATATGAAGAGCTTTATGGAATTTAATCGGGAGAGATCTACAGACCATAAATTCTACAGATGAGAGTAAGCACCTTGAACCCGTTCCTGTGATACACCCTGTGGAGATGGCTTCATATTCAGGAGGCTGAGAGTTCAGTTTAGGTTTGAAGCTTGGAGCAAAGACTTGACACCTTGTAATGGTTTCAGTTCCAGTGCCTTCCCTGTCTGTAGTCAGTGTCGTATGTTCTTGGGAGATGCGTTGATCTGAGCAGGACAGCATCGGTTATCGCAGACATTTAAATAAGTTTTTCATATGCTCTGGGTACCATAAAAGAAAGGCAAAGTGGGTTTTCACAGCCATGAAACAGTGAGACAGTCCTTTCAAGTAAGTTTCAGCAATCCGGAAGCTCTCATTTAGTTAAATGGTGATTTTGAGGACCTGAACAACTGAAAAATTAAGAGTCTGTGTAATTTGACGGTATAATTATTCCATAAATTAGAACAATATGTTAAATAGAAAAATCTATTTAATATTTATTTAACAGTTTGAGTTTTTAAGTATTATTATTTATTTATTTATTTTTAACTTATGGGCAGTGGGGTTAACCATTGCTATTACCCAAGGAATCATAGGCAGTATATGGTATGGACCCTGCTCCAAAGACATCGCAGTCTCTGAACAGTTTGTGGCAAAGTAATATTGTTAGTAACAGTTGTGGCAAGTCTTTTTATGCTTGAGAATATTTGGCCTCTAAATATCTCTTCTGGAAAAAGCCATAGTCCACATGATGCTTCTGGGGAGAAGGACTGAGGTTGCTGGGTCAGCTGTGCTGGACCCGAAGTCAAGATCTGGACTAGGAAACTAAATCGTATTCCCTCATCCTGATGTCAGCTGGCACAAAAGAGTATGTATCTGAGCTATTATCCACACTCCTCATTTTCTTGCCCTCCACAACAACCACTGCATCACAATTGCCCGGATAGCCCCAGTCCTGCACTAACTCCCCATGTTACCTCTAGCTGGGGCAATCTGTCATGGCTTCTTCTCCGCTGTGGGCTTCCTGGTGCTTAATGGAGCTGGTCTGGTACTTGTGCATTTTCTGAAGTGGGTGTATGAAGTCTCTCCCTGTCTGTTTCATAACCAAATGTACTTCTTCGTGAAGTTTACAGGAGCATAATTACCTCTGCTGCTCCTTTGTCCCCTGTGGCTGAAATGCTTTAACAGGTTCAGAAGCTTTTTGAAGGGAACCAGCAAATAAAAATAAAGAAACGTATACAAACAGA